TTTAGAAATATTTCAAGTTCTGACCCTTTTTGAAAATCTTGAAAAATATAGCAAAAGCATTCAATGAGTAAAAATTTCAAAAAATTGCTGCCATCTATATGCTTGAGGAACAAAAAATCCTAAATTTCACCGCCTAGGCCTATTTATGCGGGCTTCAATATCGATCGAATTATTTGAACGTCTTTAAAATACTTGAATTAAAAAATTATAATTGCAGTAATTAAAAGGAAAATTATTATTCTTCAATGTAATTTTGAAATTCCCAATCCCAAAATTGTTTGCTTGATTGGTGTTTCTAACTTTCTAAATAATTAAAATAAGACAAATTTGGTTTTAGTTTCTTTTAGCTCTTTTCCATTTTGACTTGTTATTATTTTCGTATTTTGTCTTTTTCTGAATTTGTGTAAGTCAGTTTCATTCTTTGATTAGTAAGGAAAGATTATTAATAAAGTTTTAACAAAATAACGAACGAAATACACTGTTAGAAATATTGGAACATGTTGGACCAGATTGTTATTCTAATTTACTGCAATCTTACAATCGGAGAATCATATTATTGAGCTCCTCGAGCTTAAGTGGACGATATTAGAGTTCATCTTTGACGAAAATAAGATTTAATTTACACTTTACTGAGGTTGCATGATATAATACTACAAACTACAAATGTCCTACATGCTTGATGATATACAGGTAAAACTTCATTTGCTTCAAAAATATGAAGATGGTAAAAAAAATGTCTATAAGCTTCGAGAACTCAAAAATAGGTGCTCATTTTCAAAATTCACCTGACATTGAATGAGGAAACTAAATGCGATTTTAAACAGAAAGCGTGAAGTTACCAATGGAAAAGGGAGAAATTAAGATGAAGAACAAAATTGGTGAAACTGTGAAATAAAAGCACACAGAGAAAAAAATTACCGTACTGTATTTTAATGACATTTCCGGTGAAACAAATCCACAATCTTTGTATTGAAAATCAAAATATACTGAATTTAAGCAATTCATTTGTTAATTTTTTCGTTCATACGATAACGATTTATCAGAATTCCGGTTTACGAAACTATAGTTCTTATTGCCACATATCTTGTAAAAAATACAAAACTAACAAGTAAATTTAATCGAATAAATAATTTTCACACCATGCTCTTAGGTATCATAAAAAACTGCGAAATATCACCATCATCATCATAGTTTGCCAGACAGCCCAATGTGGGGCAATGGCTTCCTCTGCAGAATTCCCCACAACGACTTCCGATATATCTTTGATCTCCAATTCTTTTCATTAATTGCTAAATATCACCACATTTACCTAATTTTATCACATATTATAAATTTATGTTTTATTGTCAATTTTACCAAAATCATGATCAAAGTATATGAATAGAAATCACCGAGATTTGTGATGTTTCAATAGAGTCAGAATCATGGTAAAATTTTGTCATATTCTGATAGTTTTAAACAAACTATCAGAAAAACCGCAGTGGTCTAATTAGGCAAATCAAGGCAAAATGCATTTTCATGAACTACGAAGAGGTGATGAGAAACTTATTCCATTCATATAAATAGGCATTCTTATGAATGGAATTAGATTCCAGAGTATCAAGATGAGCTAGCGTGACAGGGATAGTAAGAATTTTGACATTATCAAAAACGAATTTATTCTCAGGATTCCAACAATGTGCGGCAATAGATGAGTTATCACATTCGTGAAAACATACAAATCTATTGTGTTTTTTTAGTCTAAATTTTAAGTGCCTCCGGTTTGTTCCATGAAACAAAGGTCACTCTTTCAAGTCATGTGGCAAACGCCCAGAGACTTTCAATACTGACAGGATCTTTAAACAACTTAAAATTAATTTAAATTAAGAACGCAAACATTTATAAATATAAATTTAATATAATTTAAACTAATTAAATAAATTAATTAAATTAATTTAATACAAATTAAAAGCGTGATATTAATTGTTATTAAACTATGTAAATATGCAAAAATCTGTATTTATTGTAGCTTAAGAAGCCAGGAAATTTGATAAAATATTTAAAATTATAATAAAATATGTATTTGAATTCCTTTAGGTATAATTAATATTTGCTGAATGAAAGTAATAATTCTATACCCATACATATAGGTATAAAAGTATACATTTCTCCCTTCATATATTACTCTTTGTAGCCTTAAAACTATAGTAAAAGGAAATTTATAAAACACTTTTTCTTCATTTACAAGTTAATATATCTTAAGAAACTAATTTATATTAACTTTCGATTTGAAATGCCGAAACTTTCGCAGTTAATCAACATAACCTAACGATTGCCTGAAATACCTTAATTATCGGTATGTACTCACATTAATTTGCCTAAGAATTAAATTGAACTTTTATGTCAGAAATTAAATTTATGGCAACCATTTGGTGAGTTTTCGACTTGAAGGACGATTATATTTAGATTAAAGTAAAGTTGATATTCGCAGGGTGGGCTGAAAATTAAGTTACTGGTTTTCTTAGAAAATTCGAAATTGCTGTTTAATGCAAATTTATCATTAGGTTTTGACTTCGGTAAGAAAATTAAAGCCCAGAATTTCTTTTGCCATGTTTTTAAATTACCTTATTATAATCCATTGTCTTTCATATCCATATAAATTGATTACGTTTTATCGTAAATGAAATAGCTTAGGTATGATTTTCCGAAACTTAGGAATAGATGGAGGAAGCTTTTTTTAAACTTTTTATATAAAAATCGCTACGAAGACATCTAATGCTTTTATAAAAAAAATTATTTATAACTTTGCAAATTTGTTTTATTTATTACTTTACTTGCTTGTAGTGAAGAACTTTGTTTTATTTATAACTTTGTAGTAAATTTTTGTTAAAATGTGCTAGAAAAGGTAATTTTTTTAATTAATTGGAGATATAGTTTGATGAGAGGTATAGTATGACCTAAGCAGTAGTTAGCAGTATCTCAACTCAGCACTTTGACCTTTAATATGAACTAATTTGATTTGGTTAAGGCTACTACTTGTACTAATTTGATTTGGTTAAGTTGATTTGGTAATAATTTATTGCCACACATTTAAAATTTTCGCATAAAAACACAAATAAAGTAGAAAATGCACTGAAATCAATAAAAATATTTAAGTATTTAGGAAAGAGGAAGCAAGAATAGGTACAAGTCAAAAGAAAAATCAAGAAAAAAGTAAAACAAATTACTTCTTATAAGATGCAGCTGAAAAGTTTGTAACAAAAATCGTTTCTTAAAACAAATCGTTTCGTAACGAAAGCAAAATATCAATTATAACCAACCAGACTATAGATTTCTAAAATTTTTTTTAGTCATCATCCACTCTGTAAGAAATATTTCTTTAAAACAGCCCATTATAGAAAACTTTTAACAGACAACAAATGAAACAATTAAATTTCTTTTTTTACAATTGCTGTTTTACAATTGCTGTATGTATGTAATAATATATATGTAAATTTTTTTTTTATGAAACTAGCCCTTAGGTAAAAGATATAACATTCGCTGCGAATTTCTAAGTTGTGCGTAAAATAACTTTTGAACATATTTTTAAAAAAATCCCAAATTATTGTTACACTACTTTCATGATAGATGAAAAATAATTATCAAAATATTTTGTTAAAAATTCAAAATGAATAGTTTGAATTTCGAATGGAATTTTTTTTCTCATTATTTCCTTATTTCATTCTTTATAATAGTATTTTTTTATTTTCCTATTTTCTTTGTATAGTGAGAGTATTTTTTTTATAAAAATGTTAATACATTTCGAATTTATTCACTACACAATTAAATGAGCCCTTTATGTAATTTTTATAGTTTATTTTTTATAGCTAAAAGTTTTCTATTTTTTGTTTGTTTTTTAACTGAAATATTAATTTTTTTGAATGACTTTTTAGTTTCGTTTATTTCGCAAATTCAATATAAATATTTATTTGAACCGTTTTAATAACAATACTTTTTTTTAGCAATTTATAGTTATTTTCAAAGTATATAATAAAATAAATTAGGTACTTTTTTAAATAAACAAAAAGATCGAAAATATCCTGTACACTATCAAAATAAATTAAAAAACGAGCTTCTGCTTCTTCTAAAGGAATTTAATACAGTCTGGAAAAAGTGAGTTATGTCTTTCTGGTAAAACTTTTCAAAATGTCGAACGAGTTTTGACACAGAATTTCTCATGTATAACTATTAATTTCAAGTTTTCACATTCAGAGTAAAGCTTTGTAATTAAAATTATGGGTTGCGAAAGTTATTTCCTACAAATATGTGAAAGTCATTCTACGAACATGCAAAATTATTTAATAGAGTGTTGATTTTATACAAGATCTGTTTAAATACTATTTATAATATTCAAATAATAACTTTTCATATTAGCTGATAAAGGAATTAGCTGATAAAAGAGATTTTAAATTTCTTTTCAAAAATTTTAAACAACAGATATTTGTTTAAAAAACTTTCAATTCAAAAATACGAAAATATACACGAAAAATAAAATAAACGAACCAGTTTCGAGTTTTTAGCACCATATTTGTAGAAATTAAAAATGCATGAAATTAAAAAATCTTACTTTCACACAGTATTTTCTGGTCACATTACATTTACACACCATTATATAATTATTATACACTTTTAAGTATTGTTATTACAATTAAAGACACATTATTAAAAAGAGTTTAAATAACAGATCGTTTAACAGATTTTTTTTTTTATAAAAATCGCCAAAAGAATAGACCATCGACAGATACCTTTAAAAAGAAATAGCATTACTTAAAAAGAAAATGATTGTAATTCATCAAATAAAAGCTATTAAATAAAATATTTAATACTCGAATTGTTTCATTTGAAATATCTACTAATTTAAATTTTATTATTCTAAAAAACGAAACAAATACCTTAAATTATTTACATGCATTTATTTTACGCAGAATAAAAACCATTCTAATTAATTAAAGGAATTTACACCGGAGAGCGTCAGGAAAAAAAAAGAAAAAAAAAAGGAAATACTTTTAGAAAATTAAATTTTCATTTTCGTACATCTTTTGCTTCATAAAACTCCTCACCATATTTCATTTATCGATTTTTCCGTTAGCATATTTCAATGAAAAATGTTCATTCCAGTATTTTTCCCATTCCCGAAGAATATTTTCAAATAAAAATAAATGGTTAAGCTCATTCTTTTTCTTTTAGAAATCTCCTCATTCAATTCATAAAACCACCTTTGCTGACAATGTGCATCCCCAACGCCCCCAAGTGTCTAAACCACTAATAAACTGTCTTCGCATTCCATCCTACTCCTTCTTTCATCCTTTTCACTTGCTCTCGCGCTTCTTTTGATGCTGAAGATGAAGGGACTATGTTGAAGTTTGGAGTTGCATTTTACTATTTGATGAAGTGGAGCATTCTTAATGATTTAATATTGTGCGAAGATTTATTCGGTGAAATTGTTGATTCATACTGATTTGAGAAAATAATAAAATTTAGTTGCAGATGATTAGATGGGTATGTAGAATGTTTATTTATTTATATTTTAAAATTTTATTTATTTATTTACTTTTTAAACCACAGGAATTATATATTACGAGATTATAATTTTTGGGACATAAGACAATTAAATTAAATGAAACTTTTTTACTCAAATTTTTTTTAATGAAAAATATTTGAAAATTTTACGATTTTTTAAAAAAAATCGTATTGTTTAGTTAAAATACAACAAGTTTTATATACATACGTATATATGTATAAATTTAAATACATACTTTGTAT